ATGTGCGGAACGCGCATGTGCCTGAATAAGCTCTGGATATTGTTGTCCCCATGAAATGCCGTTTGACTTCGCCGATCTCTATTTTAATAGAGCTCTTTAGTTACACCTACATGTACACCACCCCGCTTTATCCAAGTTAATTGCAAATGGTTTTTCTTGTTTAGGAATCACATAGTGTTTGCAGGGATTGTTATCTTAACCAGCTTACGTGGTTGGTTTAGTGTCATAACTATCTACATAAATATAACACGGATCACCAAGTCATTGCCTATTTTGGAGTGACTCACAGTCAAATACGTACATAGGTGTGTTTTTTTTATTCACATTTATACACATTTTCATGTTAACCACTTAAAGGGATAATAACTCTTCGTATGAGATCTATAGTTCACAGTAAAAACATTGTGAATAACTCATAGAAGTATAATATATTATGTTTTACCACAAAAACGGCAGTTATAGCTATTTTTCTTATATCTGAGCTTGTCTTTAGACCACGTGACCTCCATTGATGGCTATACTCTGTTAAAATCCCTTAAGAGATTTTAACAAAGAACCAAACTTTTCAGAAAAAAAATAGGGACTAACTTTGAATGTAAAGATGGATTCATTAATCATTGGTAAGTATGGGAAAATTGTTGTTTACTCCAGGAAAATTCATTTTTGGCCGTAACGATGAGTTATTATCCTTTTAAATGTGAACACACTGAGTGGTATTGTTCTGTCCATTAATCGCAATATTCATACTTAGCTCTTATGCTGTCAAAGGCACACAGGAAAACATTTAAAAAGATGCACAGAAACGCAGTCCTTTAGGGTGACGTCAAAAGAGATAAGAGTGGGTGTTAAACTGATAATTAATTCACACAGTTAAAACCTTACATGTACGACAGTATAATGTTTGTTTTCGACCACTTGTGCTTTATTGGAAGTCTTGTGGTACATTTATGATGTTTGTACACTTAAGAATGCGAAGTTTGGATTTTGTTCATGTGTATTGCCTTATAATGTTCTATAGCAGTTTTAATATCTAAAAACAATATAGTCCATTTTGAATCACCTTGTACGAAATCTATTAAATTGCTCTTTAGCTGTTTAAAATTGCATAGGAAATAAACACACACCAATCCACGAGCTCATTTAACTCTCGTTTTTTATCTGATATGCGGGAATGACATCGGAAGTGCAACAACCAATGTCAAGCACTTCATCGCGGCTGATACACCGACATACACGGGTTAAACAGCACGCAGAGTGCTAGTGATGGAATTCGATGATGTGATCCGACGCGTTGGAGAGTTTGGGAGGATTCAGCTTCGAACGACAATATTTAGTGGTCTAGTGACAATGTCGACAGCCATGCAAATGATGGTAACAGTATTTATGCAGCAATTACCGGCGCATAGGTAAAATAAATGTCAAATAGACATTGGTTTTAGTTGAGCGTTTTCATATTCTCGAAAAACAAGTGGCTTGCTCTCTTGTCTAACAATCATAGATATATCTACTACAAATCTGTGTTTACGTATATTTTCCCATGCACATTGTTCTTTTGATCTATTGGCAGTTTCCATAAAATTATTGCCTATAAAAATTCTGTTAGGGGAATAGAAGTGGTGATGATGGGACGTATCATTCCATCGGTGGAATTTTCTTCAGCTGTGCGATTTACACTGCTAGTGCTATCTGCAAAATTTGTTTACCCGATATTGAACTTTGCGATAGGGTTTATCGATGCAGTTCATAGGCCACTTCCGGTGAAGATTTTTGACACTTTAGGCATGCTGTTTGTAAGCGCAAGACATATAAAACTGGCGATTGATTTATAATCTGTATAAGCCAAATTTACTCGTATATCAAATAATCTCCAAGTTGTCACAAATGCTGACTTTTTGTTGATATTAAAATCGGACCCACATGAGATGCCAACATAAAAGCAAATGGGGAGGGCTTCGTCTTGATTTGTAACGTTACAGTTGTTCACAAACATTTCGAATTGCCTTTAAAGCAGTTCATGATTTTGTCATCGTTTACATATGTATCGCAATAGTTAACTTTTCAACTAACATCTAAACTAGTCCGGTGGCTTAAGGAAAAAATCGTGACACGGCGGATAAAAGCACCAAATTTGGCATGTAGTTACCTTTTCACATTCTAAATCAAATTAGAGCCGTAGCCCTCTCAAACAGTTTACCGTTTGGTCAAAAAATCCAAAATGGCCGCCAATTTATGGAATTCTATAGAAATATGTACATACCTATGTTGATTTTTATCAAATAAATTATTTTCTCAGAGTTTTCCACACCCTTATTACCCATTTTATTCATAAATGTCAGATAGCAAACAAGTTCCCTTGGATTTTTTGAAAAAATCCAAGATGGCTGTCATATGCCATAGAAACAGCCATAGGAATACTAGTGCACAACTAATACCAGCTAGAAAGATACGTTGTCCACTATCAAATTAAGTCTGTTTCTCAGATTTTTGTTACTCACATAATATGTTTGAGGTAAGTAACTACGAAGTGTTCTTGGGCATTTTGGAAAATCCAAGATGGCTGCCACAAGAATTCTAGTATATGGGGGATTCAACTAATGGCAACTGAAAAGATAATTTTCCACTATCAAATTAAGTTTGTTTCTGAGTGTTTTCCACATCCTTTCCGCCCACACAATATGTATGTGGTGAGTAACTAACATGTATTCTTGGGCATTTTGAGAAAAATCCAAGATGGCCGCCATATGTCATTGGAATACTTCTAGTATTATAAGGGTTGGAACTAATGCCAGCTAGGAAAAACATAATTCACTATCAAATTCAGTATATTTTTTCAGTGTTTTACACATTATTATTACACTGTGATACATATCTAACAGGTAATAAATGCGCATATTTGATCATTTTGAGAAAATCCAAGATGGCCGTCATTGGCCATGCATAGGAATACTACTGGAATTACAACTGCACATCCATGGCTTTTCATCTACTACCAGGGTGAAATTGTGTTTGCTCATCAAGTTTTGTCCATCCTTATTATATATATATATATATATATATATATATATATATATATATATATATATATATATATATATATATATATCTGGTAGGTAAATAGTGTACATCCTTGGATATTTTGAGAAAATCCAAGATGGGTTCAATTTGACATAGGAATACTCATGGGTGGGTTTCAATTGCTGCTAGAGAGGCATATGGTTCACTATACAATTACATTACCATGGGTTTGTTTTAAAAATAATATATTTTTTTCATTCCATTTATTATTACCCCTATGATGTATACCTGGTCTGTAGCATGTGTGTATCTTTGGGTATTCTGAAAAAAATTCAAGATGTCTGCCTTTTGTCATTAGAATATTCGTACACATAATCAAATAATGCCAGAGATACACTGAGTACAATTTAAATGTAGTTAACTTTAGATCGTTTTAAATGTTTTTCATATCCTGTTTATCCTTATGAAAGACTCTGTGTGTGTAGAAAGTGTATGTATCCTTGAGTACTATTCGAAGAAAACCCAAGATAGCTGCCAGTTGTCATAGGAATATATCATTCAAATGCACATACAGTAGGTGTCAATTAATTGAACAGTTCAGACAATGATTCCAACATGAAATAAAGCCGTTTGATGTTCAAACATGTTGACATCCTTATTAACCTTACTCTATATAAATCTGGTGTGAAGCAAGTGTGCATCTTGCGTATTTGAGAAAATTCAAGATTGCTGCAATTCACAATAGGATTAGTACAGTCAACTACTTTGGGTTCAATATAAAATGAATATTGTTTCTCGGTATTTCCCACATTCTTTTTGGACTTTGAGATATCTATCTGGTGGGTAACAAGTGTGTACCCTTTAGTATTTTGGCAAAATATCATGATTACCCTCATTTGCCTAAGAAGTGCCTATAAAATGTAATGCACCAGTTTTCCTACGGGGAAAAGAAGGCCATCTTGGATTTACCCAAAATGATGAAATATGGACATTAATTACCTAACAAATATGTATCATGGGATAATAATAATAATAATAATAATAATAATAATAATAATAATAATAATAATAATAAAAGACAGAATAACAACTGAATTCAGCTTCATTTTATATGGGAGCCTATCTCTCGCAGGTATTAACTGAACCTCCTTCTATGGCTAATGGCAGCCATTTTGCTTTGTTTTGTTTTCAAAAAGGATACATATAACATTCTCATCACATATATTATGTGGATTAAAAAGATGTGGAAAATACTCAGAAACAAACCTAATTTATCAATTAATATTATATCTCCATGGCAGAAGAAGCCCTATGTGTATACTAGTATTGATATGGCGGCCATCTTGGATTTTCTCGAAATGCCTCAGAATAAACGTTAGTTACTCACCACAAATATATTATTTGTGTAATAAGGCACTCAGAAACAAAATAAATTAGATAGTGGGCAATGTATCTTGGAACCTATAGTTGGCATTAGTTGAAAACCCTTGTTCTAGTATTCCTATGCCATACGGCGGCCATCTTGGATTTTTCAAAAAGTCCAAGGACAGTCGTTTGTTATCTGACATATATGCATAATATGGGTAATAAGGGTGTGGAAAACTCTGAGAAAATAATTTATTTGATAAAAATCAACATAGGTATGTACATATTTCTATAGAATTTCACAAATTGGCGGCCATTTTGGATTTTTTGGCCAAACGGTAACTTTTTTCCGTGGGCTACGGCTCTAATTTGATTTAGTATGTCAAAAGGTACCCACATGCAAAATTTGGTGCTTTTATCCGCCGTGTCACGATTTGGCCATTTTTTTACCCTAAGCCACTGGACTAAACGTATTAACATTGCAAACATAGCCAATGTTTAATTCAGGGCTTATAATGGGATTTGCAATATCTAACAAACTATATGAAAAAGTGATTACGTCTAGGATGCGCATTTCATAACACTTATAATGTACGCCGCTTAACAATTCATGTTTTTAGGTGTGCCATTCCAGACTTGGCAAATGACACCTTTGAAATCCAGGGTACCTGGCACCAATATCTTATCAACCAAACCATTCCTGTAGACGAGAATGGGGAGTATGAGGGATGTCTGTGGCGTAGGGGAAATGATTCCGGAAATGGTAGTGTGTTGCCGTGCAAGGACTTGGTTTATGATACATCTGTATTCCCGAGAACGTTTCCTACGGAAGTGAGTAGTTCATTGGTTTATTATTGTTGCTAAGGTGTGGTTTTATGTAATACACTGTTTGCCACTGTTGGATCTGTAAAATAATTTGCGTATTGAATAACTGAAAACATGAAACCACCACGACACTTGATATAACATATTTATATTTTGGATTAGAAATGATGGCCTATAACCAGCTACAGGCCACATCTTAAGACCATTAATATTGCCGTGGTCTGAAGATTCCCAAAGGCTACTTTTACTTTTCTTTTTGGCCTCAGTGATGTTTGACTTGGTCAGCCATCAGGAAAAGCACTTTATTTTTTAAACAAATTGTGCTTGATGATTATCCATAGAATATCATGTTTGTTTTCGATCACTTGATTCTGCAAGTCAAGGCTTATATTACTCACTTTGTCTATATACCTGTAGTTCACATATGGTAATTTCATTTGAATCACTGCATATTACATAATGTAGCAGTGCAACAGACCTGGTAGTCAGAGAATTGGTAATGTGTCACCTGAATACACTAGAGACTGAATGAACCAGACATGCTTGTTGAACGAGAAATTGATCAACATTAAATTGAGATGAATGGATAATCTCTGTTTTTAATTTCAGTTTGGTCTATTTTGTGACAGTTCCTTGCTAATAAATATGGTCAACGTGGTCTATCTAGCAGGAGTGGCCGTTGGGGCCATTGTCGGTGGTTTAGCAGCAGACTAGTAAGCATATCGTTCAGCAATTTCGTTAAGTACATAAGTTGTCAATTTTAAATAAAATCAGTTACGTCGTTTTGGATCTTTTAGATCAGGCAGTTTATGTTTGCCTTAATACTCGATCACAGGATTTTTTTTTTTTTTTCAAATAAAATTGGAGACACAAAGTTATTATATCATCATTTTCTTCCCACATAAAGATTTTGAGCTTTTGTATCTCAAACTACAAGACGCTATCTCTTTAAAGTGGTATAGTAGGCAATAACAAGTTATCAACTGTTCATGGGTATGTCATAAAAGACTCGCAAATGTAAAATCAAAATAGTTTAAGAAATTAACGTATAATTTTGGTGTTGAAAATGTCCATGCTAATGCGGAAAAAAAAGGATAGGCTGTTGTATTAAATATTCACAAAATATTTATTAAGAATTAATCAAATACGTACTGTTTATCAGTTAGCAATATTTCCATCTTGGTTGACTACAACAAACCGACAACATATTTGCAAAGATCTAACCGCTCTTGTGACATATACGGTTACTGTAGCCCACGGTAGGCATAAAACTGTAGCCAAAGAAGTATTTTGCAAATATTTAGAACTCGGTTTATTGTTTCTTTCACAATAGAAGTAAATGTGGTTTCATAACATATACCTGTACTTTCAAAATTATGCTCAACTTTCGTCTCTGCAGGTATTTTTATTTCCTTGTTTGTATAAATTTCATCTTAAATTAAATATGCTTCATTTTATTGTTTTCAGAGAATTCTTTAACATAAATGGCACTTGGTACATTTGGTTTAGTGGTATATCTAGACTCCATTGTAGGGATATTATACGCTTTTCAATTTTTCATTTTTCTGTTTTCAGTATTGGGCGCAAGTGGGTATCCTTCATCGCATGTTTGGTACATGGAGTTGGAGGATTGGGAGCCGCTTTTTCACCTAACTACGGGGCTTATGTTGCATTCCGTTTCTTTGTAGGCAGCTGTCACGGCATACTTAACAACTCAGTCGTTGTTCTGTGTAAGTAGTAACGAGAAAAAACACGTCTGTGCATATATATACCGTTGTTTTTCAATAACGTGTACAGATACTTTTATCGCTTTTAGACAAACGATGAAAAAATGTCTTTCACGTTGAATTAAGCGTACTATTTCACTAGTTGATATGTGTATGTGACTATATGTAGCGTACACTGTATGCAGCTTACACTGATCTGTTATTTGCCACTGACCTTTATTCCCTTTGCCGTGTGGAATTTTTTTTTATCGATTCACTGCCTGGATATTCCCCATTCTCTAATCTTTAGTAAAATACTTATGGTAAAATAGCATGACGCATTTGCAGGCATCGAATTTGTATCACCAAGAAGACGCATGATATCGGTGTGCACAATGGGAGTATCCTGGGGTATAGGCATGCTGCTTACAACTCCTGTGGCTTATCTCATACGGGACTGGAGATATCTACAGTTGACTATGGCCTTGCCACCATTCTTATACCTAGGCTTCTGGTGGTAGGTTCTGTTTCTCTTTTACTTTAGGTATTGTAATTTGTGATGCCAGCATTGAAAGAAATTCATTTGCCGCACTCATACACAAACAAACGAGCCAACATTACTGTTTTCACGTAAAATATGTAAATAAATTAACACATAACATAAATGAACGCACTGAAAGATGTGTATCATAGTTGTCGAAATTTTATAAGAGGTATCCTAATTTCCAGGATAGTCCCAGAGTCACCTCGCTGGCTGTTATCTCGTGGTAGATACGCAGAAGCTGAGGACATAGTGCGATGGGCGGCAAGAGTGAATAAGAAACCGATTCAAGGGATCAGCCTGCTCTTCGATGAACATTCTTTGCAAAAGAAACCCTCTTTAAGTCCTCTTAAAATTTTCCACGCACCAAGACTTGTGGCAAGGACAGCGGTGATAATTTGCGGCTGGTATGAGATCAATTTACACTTTTTGAATAGAACAAAGGGTACGTTTCTGACGGTTTAAAGTGCATATAGAGGGAAATACCCATTTTTTCAGGAAAGCGAAATCAGCCATTAGGTGTGGACCTTAGAGAATTGTTATCGGGCACACAAACGGCATAATTAATGTTTTTTTTTTTTTTTTTTTTTTTTTTTTTGTGTTTTTTTGTTTTTTTGTCAAATAAGCGACATACATGATCTGCCACAACATTTAACACTGACGTTTTCATTTCACTCTACTAGGTTGATTCAAGACATAATACAATGATTAAATACTTATGAATTTTTGTTGTATTTCAGGATTACAGTTGCAATTTCGTGGTATGGTCTTACACTAAATCAGGGTTCCCTTGATGGAGATATCTTCATCAATGCTTTTGTCCTTTCTGTAATCGACCTCATAGCCTACGCGTCGTTGTTCATTGTCAACAAAATAGGTAGAAGAAAAGCATACTGTGCCGCCATGATGATCTCGGCTGTGTCCATGTTGTCTACAATACCAGTTCATTTCTTTGCAGACAGAGGTATGATTTAAGCCTGGTTTTCCACAAAATCCAGAAATACATTAGTAGTATTTGAGACTTTGGGTTCGTCTTTGATCAAAGTGCTCGGTTTTTTCGGAATTAAAATGCGACATGAACGCGTTTATAGTTGAGGGATGACAATTGCCATAATTTTAGATATTCACCATTTGGTTGCTTTAGGGGAGGATAATTCTGATTCTTCTTTGCAATTCGCATCCAACAGAACTTGTTTAACTAGTTAACTATCAGCACACAAGGTAACCAAACCCCATTTAAAATGTAACAATGACAGGGTTAATATAAGAAAAATAATTTTACAACCCTAAAAGCATATGAAAAGGAACGTTACAAACTATGGGTACCTTTAAATGCAGAATACGAATTCCCTTGAGGGCGTCTTTGTCGGTCATTTTGAAAATAGTTACTTTACCAGCCTTGATGGTTGTTGTGAAAAAAGGTTGTCCCATGGGTTAAGCATCCATTTCTGCCAAAGCCAATGCATGTTAATCAAAAATAGCAGGATTCAGCCAACCATATTCAATACAGGTACTGTTGTATATGATTGCAACTTACAGGGTATTTCTACATTTTTAATATACGCACTTTGTATGCCATCCAAAAGTGATGGATTTACCGATCTAAATAATGCTCGTAGCTCTAATTCTCTTTAGAAATAGACTTTTTGGCCCATTTTGCCTCTAGAGACACCTGTTCCCCTAAAGTTTTCCAAAGAGGTTATTATTTACCCTACCCTATTATTTACATCAAAAGTGTTGATAATCACCAAAAATAATTTTTGTATCATGTACTTTCTACTTTTGCATTCCTACACCTACAGTGGAGTTCTTTCAGACAACTTAAATAAAGGAAAAGTTTATTTGGGCATCCAAACATCAATTTAAGTGCAAACTATAGTAACAAATGTATATCATTTCAAATGTAAACAGAACAGATGCATGAAACAAAATAAATGCTAAAATTGTTCGAGTTTTTTTCCTGAAGCAGGTAGTCATTCTGAATTTCTAAATGAAGTACATTGATGTTTAAGTTTTTGTAATAATGAAATAGAAATACTTAACTACCTGTATGTCCATACAAAATTGGATGTCATTGGTGAACAAATTGACAGCTGCGAGAAAATATATGTAAGTATATGCGTGGAATATTGGCAAAGTCGTTCAAGTGCGAGTTGTCATATGTTTAACTTCCAAGAACAAATTACAGGATTTCTATGGATTGTACATATAGTAGACATATACTTCATACTGCAAACATAATATACTGTCCTTTGTGAGCAATTTCTCATAATATGATATAATTTACCAAAACGCTGAACAAGCATCCAAACCCGCTAAATATGTGCATATCGTTAACTACAGGGGGTATGTACAGGAGGGTAACAGGGTGCGGGGGTAAAATTTAAAAAAAACTTGCACTTCCTTATCTCACATTACATAATTTCAGGGGGTAGACATAGACTTTTCTAAACTAAAAAGTGAAATAACACCCCTCCCTAGTTTTATGCGCCATTTTTAAGGATATGTGATGGTATTTCTGTCCTTCCATTTCTTTTAATAAATAATAATGTAAATCGGGCCAAGGGTTGTTCGGCTTAGCATATATATATATATATATATATATATATATATATATATATATATATATATATATATATGGTCAATCGTTTACTTTTAAACTGCCTTCACAACTTAAAATAAATTAATAATTTAACCCTTTGTTTTCTAGCTCATAACCCAAACAGTTAAGGGCTAGGACCTACCTAGATAAAAGCAAACAAGTATATAACCTTTATGAATGTTAATGCGCTATTTTTTTCAATCTTTCAGAAAGTCCTTCAACCAGTGCCGTCTTTACAGCATTGTACACAATGGGGAAGTTGGGCGTCAGTAGTAACTTCTGCCTTCTTTTCATGTGGAATGGAGAGTTCTATCCAACAGCCTTACGAAATTTTGGACTAGGTTTAGGATGTACATTCGGCCGTGTTGCGGCAATCGTATCACCAATTGTTATGGTATGTTACTCTGTTTCAGTACTGCAACCGGTAAATTACAAAACTTATCATCAGGCCGCTTGTCTTAGTGGAATTTGAACCAATAGATCACAATCTTTCGATTGATATATGATCAGACCCCTTTCCCTATCCAGTTCCCGCCCAGACTGCAAGAACAATTCTCCATCCCTTAATCACCCAAACTCCTTTGATATTTCGTACATAACAAATTTTTTATCAGCTGTTTTATATATTTATATCGATACTGTTCATAAGAACCAGTCTTTCATTTTTCGGCTTTAAGTTTTATCTGATTCACGTATTATACTTTATTCATATGCAATAAGACTATCTGCTGCATGGACATTTATAGCAAGCGTACTCTTTTGGTAGGACCAATTCGGAGAACATCCCGTTCTTGGTAACACTGTTCCTCTGATACTGTTTGGGTGTATGGCACTGTTCTGTGCTGTGAGTGGTCTATATCTCCCTGAAACCGCCCACAAACACCTGCCAGAGACCTTGGAAGATGCTCAAAACTTTGGAGTAAAACGGTTTGTTATATACTAATCTGTTGATCGACACCTAATCTATATGTCTCTTTTCATTCCTGTCGGCTGTCTCCTCCTTTCTCTAACACTTCATCTCTCTCTATCTCTCTCTCTCTCTCTCTCTCTCTCACACACACACACACACACACACTGGCACATGCAATACTACACACTCACTTGTCAATATGTGATATCAAAACAAATATTTGTTACTTCATATAACACAACAGATTTTCCAATATTTCACATGATTAAGCTCCTTCTCATACAGTTTAATGGGTGATTATAATAGTAGAGTTCTTCGTACCAAAATGTACCATTGTTGCTTAAAACGGATATATACTGTAAATTTCAGGAGAAAAAGTGGCATCAACCAAAACTACGATGAAAATACCCCATCCACATTTGAAATGGCTTCTTAAGGACAACGACTACAATTTCATGCACGTGGACTACTTTTTAGCAATTTTGTATGTTTGGGTACCGAGCCTGATCCGCTGTAAGCCTAAATCATAATCTATAAAAAATGTGACGCGGATGAATGGTAGCAAATTAAAATGTGCATTCTTTCGGATTTTCTGTAGTGATTACCTCATCTACTTTTAAACAAGTGTTAGCATATGTTTTTTTTTTTTTTTTTTTTACTAGAGATATGTTTGACAGTGTTATTTTATGCATTATTATACCTCTTAGCAGAAAAGCAGACCTCTGATTGGCCAGTGACCTTTTACTATTTCAAATAGTGCTTTAGTGTTTAGCAAAAAAGGTACTGAAATTCTTCACAGCGTGGCAGACGACTATGACTGTACAAAATATTAAACTCCTCTGCTGCTGGTATCACTTTATACAGAATAATTCAAACCAGAACACAAGAACGGGATGTTGATTCTAGTCTTCTCGTAAAATTAAATAAAACCACATACTGCTAATCGCATAAGGTAGCACATTAAAGACATTTTACCAGAGCTCTTCGGTTACACCTGCATCTTCTCTAGTTATTCAGTGCAAATGGATTCTACTGTTTTAAGGTGTGATATGAAGTTTGCACGAATTATCTCAACCAGCTTACGTGGATGTTTGATTATCTTTATCACAAATCACCCTGTAATTGCCAATTTTGGATGGAGTCAAGAGTCAAATAGGAACATCGATTTGATTTTTGTTCACATTTATGGATAATTTCAACGCAATGAGTGGTCTCCGTCGATATCAGTATTCATATTTAGCTCTCATGCCATCAAAGCATACAGTTAAAGATAAAAGATGCACAGAAACACAGTCATTTACGATGACCCCAAAAGAGAAATGAGCGGGTGGAAAAACGACGCTTAATTCACACAGTGGAAGACTTTACGACGGTGTGTTTGTTTCCAACCATTTGCATTTTATTGTAAGTCTTGCGGTTTATTAATGGTCTATAACACTCTACAAGGTAGAATGCAAAGTTTAGAGTTTGTTCGTGTACTCTGTCTAATGTTCTACCAGTAGTAGGTTTAATATAAAAAAGTTTTAGTTATGAATCACCTTGTAAGAAATCTATTACAATGTGTTTAGCTGTTTAATAAAATTTCAACGGACACCATTCTCTGAACTAATTTAAACTCCGTTTATTTTATCTGACATGCGTGAATGACGTCGGAAGTGCAACAACCAGTGTCAAGCACTTTGTAACAGTTGTCGTCAAAATAAAGAACCAATCTGTAGACAGGCGGCTAGGGATGGAATTCGATGATGTAATCCGACGTGTTGGAGAGTTTGGGAGGATTCAGCTTCGGACGACAATATTTAGTGGTCTAGTGACAATGTCGACAGCCATGCAAATGATGGTAACAGTTTTTATGCAAGTGTTACCGGCCCATAGGTAAAACTTATTAATATAGGACATTGGTGATAGCTGTATCAGGGCACTGGGTCACATCGGGTCTTATTTACAGAATAGATGGGAAATATTAACGTCCCATGACCCTGAATCTTCCATTTCATTCTCTAGTTTTTAATATGGTTGTCTGCTACTAATTTAGTACAAAATATAAAAAAAATTGTTAAAGAAAAAATCACATGCCTTCTTGCCTAACGCTCATGAATGTATCTACCTTTAAATGGGCGTGGATGTACATGTACATGTATGTCCATCCCCTGCACATGGTTCTTTTGATCTATTGACTCATTTTAACGATACTGTCTATAAAATTAAAATTGTTAGAATTGGGCATAGATGATGTGACCTATCACACCTTGAGTGAAAATGTCTTCAGCCGTGCGATCCACAGTCCTATCTGTGGACTTTGTTTACACACAACTGATCTTGAAGATATGGCTGATCTATGCAGTAAATAGGTTAAATCTGGTGAATGTTTTTAGTCGCTTTTGACATGTTTTAACATTTTAATGTTTTAACGTTAAAACGTTGTCTCCTACAGTAACACATATCAAACTGCCGATCAAAATTGATACGGTGGAATGGCAGCGATTCTCACTTAGGTCATATAATCCGCAAGCTGTCATGAATGCTGTATGGTAATGTTAAAATCGTGCCCACATGCAATGCAAACATAAAAGAGTCAGGGGGTGAGGTCTCGACTAGACACGTCACAGTCGGTTTCGAACATTTCAAAAAGTCTTGAAAGCATTAATTTTGTCATCGTTAAAATTTCAATGACAATTAGTTCATTTTGCTATCCTCAGTGCAAACATAGCAAATATAGCCAGTCATGAAATTCACAATATTTACTTATATTTGCTTTATCCCAACAAACTGTATAAAATGAATACGGCAATAATGTGCATGTTATAATACTTATCATGTGCGCCAGTAAACTGGTCATTTTTCAGATGCGCCATTCCAGACTTGGCAAATGACACCTTTGAAATCCAGGGTACCTGGCACCAATATCTTATCAACCAAACCATTCCTGTAGACGAGAATGGGAAGTATGAGGGATGTCTGTGGCGTAGTGGAAATTATCCCAGAAACAGTAGCGTGTTGCCGTGCGAGGACTGGGTTTATGATACATCTGTATTCCCGAAAACATTTCCGACTGAAGTGAGTATTTTATCCGTTTATTGCTGTAATATATCTTGTAAAAAACTTTTTAGAAGTTGAATAAAAAACTTTGGAACATGGTTGGAGTTGGTTGGACATGGTTTTCTGTATGGCTTTACTCGATGATCATCACATTAGGGTTGTCATTTTGGGGGATTCTATCACAATGATAAAGACCATGCTTAACAATACATGTATATGCACCAGCTGTAGTAAAAAAATTCGTTGAATTGAAAATCCCTGTTTTCAATTTCAGTTTGGCCTATTTTATGACAGCTCCTTGCTAATAAATATGGTCAACGTGGTCTATCTAGCAGGAGTGGCCGTGGGGGCCATTGTCGGTGGTTTAGCAGCAGACTAGTAAGCATGAATTTTATAAATTTTATTTTGTACACTTAGTTCATTTTGTACACATTCAATATTCAATAAAACTACCGTAACTACACTACCACTGTTTGGATATTTAAGGTCATCAGACATCATGCTGTTTAATTTTGCAGTAAAATCTGTGTCGTTCAAATGCACTTGAAAATGAAAAATTAGCATATCAGCATTTTATGCTTACATATGAGCTAGAGCTCTTGTCTCAAACTACAAAGCGTTATCTCTTTAAACAGCATCGAATGTTAGGCGCATTCCCACCAGGACTGTAGTCCAGTCGCGGAAGTATAACCAATATTATATTTTGACAATGAGCTTATGGTTCATCTTTTTTTTTTTTTAATTTTAATTTTAGTCATTCAGAATGAGAAATTTAGATATTCATTCAGTTGCCAGGTATGTTGTCGTTTTGCAGCACTGGTCGCAAATCTGTATCTTTCATCGCCTGTTTGGTACATGGCGTAGGATGATTGGGAGCCGCTTTTTCACCTAACTACGGGGCTTATGTTGCATTCCGTTTCTTTGTTGGCAGCTGCCACGGTATTCTTATCAATTCTGTCGTGGTTTTGTGTAAGTAACCACGTCAAAAATCGTGTCTATGCCAGTAACATTTGTGTTCAATGACGCGTAGAGCCTACTGGCCACATCTTATTGCCACTTATATGTATAGAGATAAACTTTTTTTCACGTTTGAAAGCGTAAGTTGATATGCCAGTAAAATGTTATTTTAAACTATAGAGCGTACACGCTGTGTTAGCTGCGTTCAACCTTTAATCCCTTGCTGCGTGGAAACTTTGGTTCGATTCACTGTTAGGATATTCCCCATTCTGCAACAACAATAACATTACACTTCCCTTTGCAGGTATAGAATTTGTGTCACCAAGAAGACGCATGGTATCCGTGTGCACATTAGCTATGTCCTGGGGTGTAGGATTGGTGCTTACAACTCCTGTGGCTTACCAAATACGGGACTGGAAATATCTACAGTTGACAGTGGCCTTGCCATCATTCTTATATCTAGGGTTCTGGTGGTAGGTTGTGTTTCTCTTTTGCTTTAGAAATTGTGATTTTTGTCTCTATCCTTTGAAGATTTGTAATTTGCAGCACACACAAAAAAGGCCGTGTATCGTGTTTGCATGTGAAAGTGCAATAATAAACACACAGTCATTGGTACACAGCCCTGAAAAGATGCAAGCATGAACGTATTGAATGGTATGTAATTAGAGTTTTATAAATTTCAAAAGAAGTACCTTTATTACAGGATAATCCCGGAGTCACCTCGCTGGCTGTTATCTCGGGGTAGATACAAAGAAGCCGAGAGCATAGTCCGATGGGCGGCCAGAGTGAATAAAAGGGCGATTCCAGAAGTCGTTCAACTCTTGGATGAACGTTCATTGAAAAGGACCCCCACTTTAAGTCCTCTAAAAATTGTCCACGCACCAAGACTAATGGCGAGGACGGCAGTTGCCGTATGTGGCTGGTATGTGTTCATTTTACTCCTTTTTGAATAGATTCAAGTGTACTTTACCTGCGGAGACATGTGTAGGGGAAAATCACCCAGTTTAATGTCAGGGAAGCGAAGTCAGCCTCTCGGTGTGGGTCTTATTGATCGTAGATACTTCAGATCGGTCACATATACGGTACCGTTAAATAATTTTGGAAAACACGTGCAATGATGTGCTACAAGAGCTCTTACTAAATATACACTAACTCTTTTGTTTGGTTGACAAGACATATAAAATGATGCCCACGTAAAATTATTTTTCAGGATTACAGTAAGCATGTCGTGGTATGGTCTTACACTTAATCAAGGTTCCCTAGATGGAGACATATTCATCAATGCTCTTGTCCTGTCTGTTATCGACCTCATAGCTTACTCATTATTGATATTCATCAACAAAATTGGTAGAAGAAAAGCATACTGTGCCGGCATGATGATCTCTGCTTTGTCCATGTTGGGTACAATTCCGGTTCATTTCTTTGCAGACAGGGGTAAGATTTAAACCTGGTTTTGTGCTAGTATTAAAATATATTAGTATTTTTAGTTACCGACAGATTCGATGGGTTTACAAGTCATATTCATGAGCGTCTTTTCAGGCGTCATTTGGAATTACTGTATGTATGACACAATCTGTATGCTTACATAGATTTTAATAATTATGCTAATCAGATAAAAGATTGCTCGACTTATTGTGCATATAGGCAGTTAGTTATTTACATTCCAACTGCCTTCACACATCTTTATTTTTAAGATTGAGTTTATTGTATGCGTACATGGACACGTCCTATTTAGTAAGTGTTTTTTTTTTTTTTTTTTTTTTACCCTAGATGAATGTTTAACCTAGATAAAATTAAATCGGTTGCCTTCACGAATGGAATGTTTTTTTTTATCAATGTTTCAGAGAGTCCTTCGACCAGTGCCGTCTTTACGACTTTGTACACGATAGGGAAGCTGGGCCTTAGCGGTTGCTTCAGGCTTCTTATCGTGTGGAATGGGGAGTTCTATCCAACAGCTTTGCGAAATTTTGGACTAGGTTTAGGTTCTACATTTGGCCGTGTTGCGGCGATTGTGTCACCAATTGTAATGGTACGCTACCCTGTTTCAGTCTTGTAACCGTCAAATGATATAACTATGTAGTATTCTCCCCTAAAAAGTGTTACCCCACCGCATTTATGTACATTGCTACAAGAGTACTTACTGTTACTATTACGTTATAACTTGGCTACCGACCGAAGTGTAAAGTGGGAATGTGAGTAGTAGAACATTGAATAAGACTATTGAATATAACCGCTACACCAATTCTTGTTAATATGCGGGTCCTAAGTGAGGAGGATACATTTTTGACCATAATGTTGACAAAGGCTGAAGTTTTGATCCGCTAAATTGTAAAGTTTCATGAGATTTAGAACTCGACTTTAAAAAGAATGGGACAAATCATTTCCCTTCAGAAGGTGTTTGCACAATTACTGTCACGTTGAAAATGGCCAACAGGGGGATAGCCATGCAAACAAAAATGTTTTTACTATATTTTGCACTGTATGTAGAACGCTGTCTCTCCGCAAACATTACAGAAATTTTGACTCCACGTACAGACACTTCTGACTCAGCGACCCAACCATCTGGCAATTTGGCGATTCAAAACTCCCTCCTTTGTAAGCCAGCTGCTTGGTTTATTAAACTCTTATTATTTGAAATATAATATGTATTTCAATGGTCACGGTAGTTAGGTCAATCTTCTTTTACTCGGATCCCCAATTTACACGAAGATCGGTTGTTATGCAATAGTTTTTATGCAACAATAGCTGTAATGCAATAATAAGATGGGTGACCTAGAAACTGTTAGACATGCGATAGGGGTGACAATTTCGCTACGGGAGTATATATACATTATTTGACAGTTTTTAAAATTCATCAATTAAAACTAAGCTTTCATATATCCAAAAGCCCATTAAGTTTAATCATATTCAAGTATAAAATTTCATCTAATACGATAATATGGTTCTTGGCCATTAAAAGGAAGATTTCTCATGTTGATAGGACCAACTAGGGGGACATCCAGTTCTTGGTAACACTGTCCCTCTGATATTGTTTGGCTGCATGGCATTGTTCTGTGCTTTGAGTGGTCTATATCTCCCTGAAACCGCCCACAAACACCTCCCAGAGACCTTGGAAGATGCTCAAAACTTTGGAGTAAAACGGTTTCTTATGCAGTGCACTGTTTAAGATCTGTTGACGCCTCCTTATCTCACCCCTCATTTCATTCAAGTCAGCTGTCTTCTGCTGTCTGTCTTTCTCATTCGCGAGCACCTGTACACATATCCATTCATGTACAAAATTTAAGTCACACTACTTAAAACTATTGATAAAATGTGATGGGTATTTCCAAAATACAGTAAAAGTACATGCACATGTACCTCCACGCTGGGCAGTACTAGCCGGCTATTTTGATTCTAAAGTTTTTAAACAATGCATTACTGCAAAACATTACGTAACATTGCTGTGGGAAAACGCATTAATGTTACATACGTGTCTCCATTTCAGGTTGGAGAAGAATTTCCACAAAAGGTCAAGGGATAATGCTCCACAGACTCTTGAAATGGTTTCTTAGTTTCTACGACTATCCGGTATCACAATTTGACACATTGAACAATGCATTTTTATCTATTGTTTGATATGCAGCATATTTACAAAGCATGACGTTACAGTCAATAAAGTGAAGATTTCCTTAGTTTTGAACTTAAAAGTCATATTTTCATTGTGCGAAAAAACTGGCAGTCCTTGGAATGGAAGCTTGGATGGGGTCCCATATGATTCCGTGCGCCAGTTGAAGATTATAAACTTAATGTAGCTTAAACGACATCGTAAACTTCTGAGATCATGCCAAGATTTTTAAAAAAATTTAATACCGTGTCCAAAGTTAGCATGTTTGCGCATAGAGAGTTGAGAGAAAGAGCCTGTAATTTCATTTTGTTCCCATTATCTTCTTCGGGGGCCAGATATACATGAGCTTGGAACCCATGTTTGAAAATTGGAGTCATCTTAGGCATTTTTTAATTGCGAAGTAAAAAAAAAGCATCATTTCCTTTCCGAACCACCACGACCCTTTGTGATGCCATTTAACGTATACTGTACATTTCTTTGGGTTTGCATTGTAATTTAAAAGGCAAATCTGTGGTTAAACAAGTGCCATATCAACGTCGTGTGTGCAGCAAGCATTAGCACACGGATTATAGTAAGGGGCGGAGTGTTTGACTATAAAAAAATAGCAAAATCCTGAGATGCATGTCCAGTGTATTTTATTATCAAAGGGTAATTTACAACACCTTTTCCATGACAAGAAAGAAAACTTAGTCTCTGCCCCATACCAAATGTGACCGACTGATCCGCTCAATTGCATTTAAAAAACTTGATCTTGCAGCAAGATAATGTTAACGGGAGTGCTACTCCATTTGCATAAAGACAATTTACTGAGGCCAGTTTCCTACCAGTAATTTTTCGCATCTTTCTTTTGCTCGCGCACTGACATTATATTAAAGGCAAACATTGAAATGCACTGATAGTCGTCTACGATAACCTTAAACTAGATAAGAGCAGGTCAGAAACTGCACCACTTCACATGGTGAGAAACTGAACTGGAGCAGAGCAATACATACACATGCAATTTTCCCACTATCAATACTTGTCGTGATATACGTGCGTTATACCTGTACGAGGTGATTTTATTTTCATCAGCGATAACACTGCTTCTTTACAAATACTTTTAGGGGTTTTTTTTCTTTTTTTTTGGGGGGGAGGGCAGATACTTACATTTTAAGCGTATATAAGTAAATGTAGGAAATAAAAGAGACCCCATCGCTGGCCTTAGTTTATGTTACTTACGTTTATCTTATCTGAAAAAGGTGAATGAATGCAAAGCAAGCACTCGCAGCTGTTACACGTATATGCAAGGATTGATCACCAGTCAAACGACTAATGATGGAATTCGATGAGGTGATCCGACGTGTCGGAGAGTTTGGAAGGATTCAGTTGCGGACGACAATATTCGGTGGCTTGGTGACGATGACAACAGCACTGCAAATGATGGTGACAGTCTTCATGCAGCAATCACCGGCACATAGGTAAAAATAAGTATTTTGATGACGTTACCAACTTTGTCTTACTTTTTATGCGAGGTAAAACTAGACAACTTCCATATTCCTTCAAATCCTTTATAATCAATTTCTAACTACGCTATCTACAATTTATTCCTCTCCGTTCAACCTCTTACATCGTTCTCCCCCGTTTACATTACTTTCTGCGCTTAAGTACAACGAGGTCATGTCAATCAACTAAGGTTACACTACAAAACACTCCCCGCTCTTATTCACTCACTACATGAATTTATTTTCGTTTAACGAGTCAACGTAAATGTGTTAGAGAAGCAAGTCAGGTGAGGAAATGAGTTCATAGGGCGGGGAGTTTTAGATGCGCAGTTTGGGCATTGCGCAGTAGTATAAAAGGAACTGTGAGATGAGTACATTTCATTCGAGACTGTTTCAGCTTGCTGCGTCGGGTCCAAGTAAATCGCAAATTTATACCAGACAAAAGAGTATTTTGAATAATACTGAAGTTGGTCAGAAAAGTAATATATCAGACAAGGTACAAAAGGAACCAGTTGTGATAGGTCGGCGTATAAAAGGGTATTCTTTTGGTATTAGTAATGATCCATCGAGAATGCATAGAGCAGTGTTAAATGTATAAAATTAGTAATAAAGAAGAGATGATAGTTGTGACAAGAAAGTAGAAATTAGTAGTTTTTGATGTACAGGAAATTCTGGACATGTACACATTCGGTAATATATATAAGAATGCAACAGTTCAAATATGGAATGAAAGATGTTATTGAAATATATAAAAGGTGGTTAAAATTTAAAGTGTAAAAAAAAAGAGGAAGAACGAAAAGAAAAGAAAATAGCAGATGTGGTGGTAACGAGATGTTGGTAGATGGTTATAGTCGGAGAGTTTGTGAAGTACAGTTAATGCGTGGTATGTACGCATTCTGCGACGCAGACAAGCATGCAACAGCTCGTACAATGTAGCAAGGGTTAACGAAATAAAAATTATTTGAATTTGATGCGGTGGTTGGTGTTTTCGTTGCGAGTTATTAGACGATAAATGATGTATATGCGATTGAGTGAAACGATAAGAATTTAATGTCACTTACTAATATTACAGTTTCACGGACGTGGGTGGCGGTGTAACAGGTGGCGGGAGAACAACGCGCCTCTTAAAATTGATGCTTCAAAACAACTGTTAATGTGATAGCGTTCTACATACAGTACAAAAATCGACGACAGTGAGGTTATATATGGACCTCAACTACATGTATGGCCAACAGCAGTGATTATAAGGACTGAATCGTATCAATCGGTGGATCAAAGCCAAATACAGAAATATATATGTAAAACCAAACAGTCAACATAACTTACGTTAATTTAGGCAAATGATGTACCCGTAAACACATAAATCCTGTTTTTAGGTGTGCCATTCCAGGCCTGGCAAACGACACCTTTGAAATCCAAGGTGCCTGGCACCAATATCTTATCAACCAAACCATTCCTGTAGACGAGAATGACCAGTATGAGGGATGTCTGTGGCGTAGTGGAAATGATTCCGGGAATGGTAGTGTTTTGTCGTGTAATGAATGGGTTTATGATACATCTGTATTCCCGAGAACGTTTCCTACAGAAGTGAGGCAATGTCTTTATTATTTCATAACAATGATTTTGGACGCGTTTTATTATCAGTGTAATCTTAATGTTATTTTGATACAGTTCAATTGTTACATTGTATCATTAAATGCTTAGTTTTATATTTAAAAATTAGTCCAGCAAACCTCTTTTGAAGTAAAACTTACATTTCAGTTTATATTTTTTCAATTTATTTAATTATTTATTTATTTTGGTTAAATGAATAAAATGTCAATCTTAGTGGCGCATATGTTAATTGATTTGATGCATAAAACATAGGACATTATCGCACAGCAGATGTCGTTCACCTGGTAATTTCTATGGCAAATGAAATATTATACCAAAGTTTATATTTCAGTTTGGTCTATTATGTGGAAGTTCCTTATTGATAAATATGGTGAACGTGGTCTATCTAACAGGGGTGGCTGCAGGGGCTATTGTTGGCGGCCTTGCAGCAGACTGGTAAGCCTTTTTTTTATTAAATCTTTTTCCCTCGGTGCTTGTACATTCTATCTCGTTCAGATACGTGCATTGGCTCACATATTACACATAAATCAGTGCTTCTTTCGTATGACTTTCATTGACAGTTGAACATGGATACCAATTTCAGTCCTTTGACAGTGTCCACTAACAACAAAATACCAAACATGTTTAATTAGGGTTCTATCAAAGGGTTGAAACGATTGTAAAAAAAGGCTTCTTTTAATTTTCAGCATTGGTCGTAAAACAGTAGCCTTCATCTTCTGTTTAATCCATGGAGTCGGTGGGGTAGGAGCGGCACTCTCACCTACCTACGGGGCCTTTGTCGCATTCCGATTCTTCGTCGGGACTTGTCACGGCGCTGCAAATAATTGTGTGTTGGTACTGGGTAGGTAATCGTATGATGCACCGCGTTTGATATTCTTTGCTGTTCAGTGGCGTGCGGAGCCAAGGTTTGAAAAATTGCGAGAAATTTTGTAGTCATCTAAGACTAAACTTTTGAGATGTTACTTATCTTTACCCTGATGCCATATTTTGTTGACCGTGATTTGAAATGCCTTTGAATTTAAATTCACATAATATAATCTGCAGTCAGTGTTACAGCTTCCAATTTGCTATGCTATGCGTTCGTGTATTAAAAAATTCTAATAATACATCGTATGATCATTGTTCTTACTTCATGTAGTCACATACATTGCAGGTATGGAGTTTGTTTCTCCAAGAAAACGGATTATATCCGTATGCGTATTAGGCATATCATGGGGTGCGGGCATCGTGCTTGCAACCCCTCTGGCTTATCTTATACGGGACTGGAGATATCTGCAGTTAACCGTGGCACTGCCCCCATTCCTATATCTAGGATTCTGGTGGTAGGTTTTTTTTTTTTTTTTTTTTTTTTTTTTTTTTTTTTTACAGCAAGCAAGCTGATTCTTGATGTCTTTCTTTGTTTATTTCTGTTTTGTTGCACAAACATCAGACATCAGACAAGCACACTTTGAATTTGCATGGGGACAGCAAGACAACATGTGGTCCTTTAACATAAAATCAAATATGTCTCTCATTCCCCATGTTGTTTTTGCCTAGTTGATGATACGTTAACTCAACTCTGATTGGTAAAAAAAAACATGGATTATGTCGTCGGTAGATATCATGTTTGGGCATGACCTCAGCGGTCAGTATTGAGTTTTATATCAAACCTCGAATTCCCGTATATGATAATTGTTTTCTATGCAAATTGTGTAAAAGACACAGTACATTTTAAACATTATTAAACATTCATATTTGCAGGATAATCCCGGAGTCCCCTCGCTGGCTGTTATCTAGGGGGAGATACAAGGAAGCTGAGAGGATAGTGCGGTGGGCGTCCAGAGTGAATGACGGAAAGATGCCGGAGACCGGTCATTTCTTGAATGAGCATTCTTTGCAAATCACTCCGACTTTAAGTCCCCTGAAGATTTTTAAGGCACCAAGACTTATGGCGAGGACAGCAGTAGCAATCTGTGGCTGGTATAAACATTGTTTTCGCAGTTTGGCAACACGCAATTGACATTTTAAGTTACACGTTTTCATGTTAAAAAACCAAATGCGCTTATTTTAACCAAGAATTAATAGGACTCTTTATAGGTCACCCAATATGACAAATCGTTATAAACATTGAGAGCGTTCAAACAAATGTCTCACCAAAAACCTTACTACTATGTCATTTTTAGGATCACAGTTGGAATATCATGGTATGGTCTTACACTAAATCAGGGGTCTCTAGGAGGTGACGTCTTCCTTAATGCTCTAGTACTGTCTCTGATCGACCTGATGGCTTTCCTATCGTTGACGATCATCAATAAAGTTGGTAGGAGAAGAGCATACTGTGCCAGTATGATGCTCTCTGCCCTGTCTATGTTGTCAACTATACTGGTCCATTTCTTAGCAGACAGAGGTATGATTTAAAGGGTGTGAATATTCATTGGAAATCGTTTTATTTACACTTATAAGAAAATAGATGTTAAATTTTATTTGGTTTTGGTGCTAGACGTGTGCTGTAAGTAATCTGTTGTAAATATTTTTCATACACTTCTTATGCTGGTATTGATTTTTATTCGTGGTAAACATTTAAGTACGAAATGTTGCACACGGCTTTGGTTTAATTTATAGTCACAGTGATGGTATCCGCGCCATTTTTTAATCAATTATAAGGCAATATTTAGTTTTAAAGGGGCTAAATAGTACTTTGCATTTAGTACATTCCCAGTAAGATAAAAGGGTCCACTTCAATTTTACAGAAAGTCAGTCAACTAGTACCATCTTCACAGCTCTGTACACGATAGGGAAGTTGGGAGTCAGTGCTTGCTTCTGCCTTCTATTCATCTGGAATGGAGAGTTCTATCCTACGCCCTTGCGAAACTTTGGGATAGGATTAGGATGTACATTCGGCCGCATTGCGGCTATTTCATCTCCGATTGTAATGGTATGTTAACGTTATGGCACAGCTTCAGTATAAAAATAATATTTCCGGTCAGAAACAACTATTCACTTTCGATGTATTAGGAGCCCTTTGGTGTTTGTAAATTTTTTACTCTAGTCTACGTTAAATGAATCTAACTTCCTGGGTGTTTAATCTGTACTTATACCCCGGTAGACACAGTAGCTATATATTAAAAATAAAATCACAGTGAAAAATAGCTTGTATCCCGCCTTATCAAAACGACGCTGCAGTGAAAAGCAAATACGTGACCCCTGACACTATAATATTGTGACATACTGAAATGACGTTCCAAAAAGAATATCGAGAAATTGATTATTTATTCTAAACGCAGCAATTCGATATACATGTGGAGGTGTAACTTTCATCAGCAGTTCTCTTTTTAATTATTTATGATATATTTATATTATTACCATTTAGTTTCAACACGCCCCATTTTCATAAACCTTTGGGTAATATTTATCCACTGGATACAATTGTTTTCTTTGAATAGTAATCCTGAGGATAGCAGCCATATTAAAACACTGGATAGCAATATCAAAAACAAAAATAGGTATCTAGTGTTAAGAAAACATTACTTTACCCACAGGATAACTGACCGGACGATAAAAGTTTAACTACAAAGAATGAAATAATCCGAAGGGTGGGTGTTAAATGAAAAAAGTTTTCATTATTTGTAGGACCAACTCGGAGAACATCCAGTTCTTGGTAACACTGTTCCTCTGATATTGTTTGGCTGTGCTTTGAGTGGTCTATATCTCCCTGAAACCGCACATAAACACCTGCCAGAGACCTTGGAAGATGCTCAAAACTTTGGAATAAAAGGGTTTGTTATTCACTATGCTTAACGAAACCCCTCTCCCTTTCTCTCCCTCTCTCTCTCTCTCTCTCTCTCCAACACACACACACATACACACGCACACACACACACACACACTCTTAATCACGCACACACGCACACACACACACACACACACACAAACCATTCAAAGTTGTAATCGAAACAAAATAATTTCACTTCCTTCTCACAAAATATGTCTTGTTAACTATTTAAACGCCGTCAAGACGGAATATAGATGAGTTATGGGCAAGACATTTATGATATCGGTTCAACAGCAATATATGTACATGCAGTATTAACCTAAAATACATTTCAGGTGTGAGGAGGCCGTCTACAAAAAGTCCAGTGAGACAGCAGCACCATTATTTGAAATGAAATCTTAATCATATCAGTATGCCATCTGGTGACACAATTTGAGACGAATGGGCTTTTTTTTTCATCTCCTTCGCTTAGATGCCATGCACGTTTTAAACACAAACTGGATAATACGATTTCAAATGGCATTGACAGACTAAAAAATGCGTTTTCACTGACCAAATGTATTTCTACAATGGGAACTGCATTTATTTTCACTGCCTCACATTAGCAACTTAAATCGAAGGATGGCTTTTCATACTTCAAGTTTCAATGTGCGACATGTCGCAACTTAGTGAAATCAAATTTATCATTCTATTAAAAACGCTAGACTGATAAATGATTTTTTTTTAATTCAATAGTGCAAACTGAACATGCCTGGTAATAAATTTACGATCGACCTAAGACATACAAAAATAATTGTTTTTTTTTTTTTTCTCTCTTCCTCTTCTTTTTAATTTCAAGTAAATTAAAATAAGTAAATTAAAATTAGTACACACGTGGCAAGTGGATTCTGTGAACAGAAACATTTCACATCTAGGTTGTCTCTAAAATAGCGGAAAAGCCCCTAATTTGGTTTTAACATAACATAACGGCGATGATCTACATGTATATTCCGTTATCACCTGGCTACTGGGTCACCGAAGATGAAGATCGTTACACGCCTTATAGATTTTTTATGTCATGAGAATTTCTGTTCTATTAAATAACACCAATAAATAATGTCTATAAAGGCGTAAAATAAATGGTAATTGATGCGCTTGCCAATCCATGCAATCCTGTCCTGACGTAACACGTCTTGCTGGTTGAGGTCACGAGTACTTAGTGCGCAGCTAACCGAGAGAGCGCCGGAGACAGCTAGGAGTGGCATTCCAATGAAACCTGCTGTCCGTTTTCCATCCTTCCGTGCAGGTGGCAAAAATAAAGATATTAAGATAGATATAAGTGATAAAATGTCATTGATTTAAATTAATGAAATATATATTGAACTGTCTTTAGTCATAATGGTCCTGTTTCATAGTCCACAGTATTGCTATTTAATTGCTTTTGCCAATGTGCCCTTATTTTTGTTTATATTTTATATCTCGGCTTATTCTGAAATAAAAATTTGCCTTATTTTTCCACAACGGATCGTACCCCCACCCATATATATAAACAAAATCCTATATACAAAATATCATCCATCGTCACTAAAATGAACCCCTATAGGAACTGTTTATGTGAACATCTATTCTTCTTGTGTGGATTTTACCACAGCAACCCGCATGTTTTTGTTTATTTCTCATGTTAACAGAATTTCTGCAGTTTGCATCCTGAGAACATACAAAGTGCTGACATCACGCACAGAAGATGGACTTTGATAAAGTTGTCCAACTTGTTGGTGAGTTTGGAAGGATCCAGTTGCGTACAGCGGCATTTTCTGGATTGGTGACGATGTCCACAGCTTTACAAATGATGGTGACTTTATTCATGCAACAGTCACCGCCACACAGGTACTACCTGTACAAAAGAAGCTATTAAATGAAAAGTGTGTAGTAGCACAGTAAGGTGATGTGAAGTAATCAGCTTTGTGTAAAGTGAATATTTACAAGTACACATAAACATTCTGAGACGTATATGGCATGAGTAATATTGCAAATTATTAGATTGCTGATGAAGTAAAGAACAAACAAATGCTGTAACTAACAAAAATGTTTTTGTTAAAGATGCGCCATTCCAGGCCTGGCAAACGACACTTTTGAAATCCAAGGTACCTGGCACCAATATCTTATCAACCAAACCATTCCTGTAGACGAGAATGGGGAGTATGAGGGATGTCTGTGGCGTAGTGGAAATGATTCTGGGAATGGTAGTGTGTTGCCGTGCAAGGACCTGGTTTATGACACATCTGTATTCCCGAGAACGTTCCCTACAGAAGTGAGTATTTGTAGTACAATCATTTTCACTTCATATTTGCCGTCCATTTATTTCTTTTGTTTCGTCAAAACACTAAAATCACTCAACCATAATCTCACTAATTCATATCTCATTATTAGTCAATGTCGCAGATTAAAGAAATCATATTTATGTAGCCAAATGTTCACAAGCACAACGAAGCTCTGTTTTTGCTCCAAATTAAGTAAGATAAGTCCATATGACTGAAAATTGTCATTGTGACGAAAACTAATAAGATACAAAGTTACAAAACTGGGGAGATAATCAAACATCCCCCAAACTATATACCCTGTACGTGCCATAATATAAAAATAATAAAGTATGTTAATGAGTGTAACCAAGATTAATCAAGAAAAATATGAGAAATCATAACAGCTATAGGAGCAAAAATTTGGCGCAAATGAAAATAAAAGGCAGTCTTGCCTGTCTTATGACACAGACGATCACCCCCGAATGCATAGGTCTACTTTCCATTCCACAGATTATGTGTAAACATACATAATTGAATCTTCTGTCTACCCACATCACAGTGAACAAAATAAACAAATTAGTAGACAGGAAATCATTTAGCCATATAATTACTTCCACTTTCATTCTATGCGTCCAGTATATATTGTCCGAGATAAGGAGGTACCAATGATCTATGATTATTTTCCTTTGAACACCAATAGATCATCGTCTTCATGTCAAATGCCAACAACTTACAAAAATAGACTAGTTGCTTTTCGACCCGTATAACCTACATTTTTACATACTGATATACATGATTGAAAAAGTTGTTTACTTCAGTTTGGTCTATTATGCGACGATTCACTACTGGTAAATATGGCGAACGTAGTGTATCTAGCAGGCGTGGCAGCAGGAGCAGCTGTTGGAGGCTTGGCAGCAGATCTGTAAGATAACGTATTAAGATTTTAATATGGATTTCGAGTTGAAATCAGTAGATAGTCTTTACTCAACTGCCAATAATAAACCGATTATTGATTCTGTAAAATACTTAAAATATGATCATAGTGCGTTTGATTGCGTTCGGAATTTGCTTACATCTCATCCTATTTTTCATCCTTTGTTATCGAAATATCCGTATAATGAAAGCAATCCAATATGGCCATATCCAGTCACCATCTGGCGTTATGTTAAAATGACGTTATGCGTCTGCTAGTATGTTCGTTGGTTGTATAAAAATTCCCATATAAAAGCTAAACCCACATACACTTAGCATTTATTTTGAAACATACTGTTATAAACCTTTTTTTCACAGTTATCACCATTCTGTAACCTCTTTCCTAAGATAGCTAGGACGCGGTAATAATTAATGTGGATTTTCAGCATTAGATTCCAAATTTGGTATCCTTTTTTCCTACAACCACTTTTGTTTTAATCGAAACGAGATACTTTCGGTTTTCAGTATCGGTCGGAAGTCTGTATCTTTCCTCGCCTGTTTTGTACATGGTGTCGGAGGACTAGGAGCTGCTTTGTCACCTAACTACGGGGCTTATGTCGCATTCCGTTTCTTTGTTGGCAGCTGTCACGGGATTCTCAACAGTTCTGTCACGGTTTTAAGTATGTATAATCACGTAAAAGTAAGTAGTAATTGGTCAAGTGTAACTGGTCAGATATTACATATAGAAAGTATTCCGTTTTCCTGATGAGCATATCGATAAAATGAAGTCAAACGGATTTCCTGTTAGAGTTGTAGGTCACTACCACCGTCAAAGTTGGGTGTTTTAGAAGACTTGAAAACCAATATCAAAATACTGCAGCCGTTTCTAAATGTTGTAACATATTTGATTAAATGAGTCAGAAATGGTTATGCAAGAGGTGCAAAGCCCGATGTTATCGACTTACTGTTTGGTTATTCCACAATCTGTTTTTAATGTGAATGATACACTGTTCTTACTTTGGCAGGCATGGAGTTTGTGTCACCAAGAAGACGATTGACATGCGCGTGCAATTTGGGAATATCATGGGGTATTGGAATGATGCTTACAACCCCTTTAGCTTATTTTATACGGGACTGGAGATATCTACAATTGGCTGTGGCCTTGCCACCATTCTTATACCTAGGCTTCTGGTGGTACATTTCTCTATTTGTTTGGCATATAGCGAGTTATTTAAATGAGGGTGCCTCTATTCAGCCAGTTTTCCCACAAAACTTTGAGTACGCTTTCGAATCCAAACATACTTATAAAGTGTAGTCATGTAGTAAACTAGTGCAATTCTAAAAATTGGGATCATAGGAGAGGCAGACATAGTGGGGAAATAGCTAGGATTAAACTAAAATAAATTCGTTTACGAATCGAAGTTTTAGATTTATACAACATTTAGTTCCTTTACAGGTTAATCCCAGAGTCTCCTCGCTGGCTGCTATCTAGAGGTAGATACAAAGAGGCAGAGAGAATAGTGCAGTGGGCAACAATGGTAAACAAAACGAAACTACCGGACACTGAGAAGCTTTTCGACGAAAACTCTTTGCAAGATACAACCACGGTTAGCCCTTGGGACCTTTTGAAAGCACCAAGACTTATTGCGAGGACCGCGGTGGTATCGTTTGGCTGGTAATGTGTTTATACAATCTTTTCACCTCAACACGTGTTTTAGGATCCATTAATAATGTCAATGGCGACAAAATGCATCCTGCATAGAGGTCGATGTCTCTTTTATCTGTTAAGATTGCTATATATTTTTTTGCCATACTGAAGTGAGGATTTATAACTTAAATTAGTTTAACCATTTAACATAATTGCCGAATAAAAAAATGGAGTTGATTCATAAGAAACCTTTAAAGTTATCTTTTTTAAAATTGTCTGTTCAATTAACAGTTACTCTTCAATGCTGACCAAAGAACAACTGTACATGTATAATAGTAACATTTTAACAATTTAGGATCACAGTTGGAATGTCATGGTATGGTTTGACACTGAATCAGGGGTCCCTAGATGGTGACATCTTCATCAATTCTGTCGTGATGTCAGTAATCGACCTTATAGCTTACTCATCGTTAATTATCATCAACAAAATTGGTAGGAGAACAACATACTGTGCCAGCATGTTGATTTCTGCCTTGTCTATGCTGTGTACAATACCGGTTCATTTCTTTGCAGACAAAGGTTCGTGCCCTGTACCTTTTTAGGATCAACATAAACCCTTGACAGGTTGCAGTGACCTGATCAAAGGGATAGTTATTAGAACACAGAAACCATATAAAGTACAGCACTTACCGTATAAGCATGCCTTAACTGACAAATGAAAGTTAATAGCGGAGGGAACATAGTATTAAGTGTGAGTAGTAACACATTTCTTCAAGCGAAAGAGAAAAAAAAATAATAATAAATCAATCGGTACCAGTAAAACGTGGCAAGGGGCCTTTTGTATAGGTACAAATATCACGGATATCAATTTGTACGTTACTTCCATCTTTCTAGACAGAGCAGCCACCGGTATCGGCTTCAATACGTTGTACACCATAGGAAAGCTAGGTCTCAGTGGCTGTTTCACCCTTCTTTTCATGTGGAATGGCGAATTCTATCCAACGGCCTTACGGAACTTTGGACTAGGTTTAGGATGTACATTCGGCCGTGTTGGGGCCATTGTATCACCAATTGTTATGGTCAGTAAAATTATGACTCCAGTGATAATGGTACTTCATTTTACCTATTATTTATTTATTTATTCATTTATTTATTTATTTATTTATTTATTTATTTATTTACCTTTTGGGGGTAGGGATTGGGGCGATTTTTTCTCCATTAAACTGTTTCTGTACAGCTCAAGTAAGAAATGTTTAAGCATTTTGCCGTTCTAACACAAAACATTGTACAGTTTTTCGCTCATTGAGCTTATTTCACAATTGTATCTAAATCAAAACCGAGAAAAAGTAAGTATTCCAATATTCATCATAAAGATTGTTTAAGGTAATAAGCAGAGACCCCCGTACGTCATCAAAAACGTCATTCTTATTATGAAGTTATATTCCAACAATTCACTATTTGACAGGACCGTTTTCTGCGGATAATGGCGAAATACGTACCAGTTTTCTCAATTATGTTAATGAAAATAAATTGATTTAAGCTGGTTTATACGGTTTATACTTTCTAACACATATATTTGTAGGACCAACTCGGAGAACATCCCGTTCTTGGTAACACTGTTCCTCTGATATTGTTTGGCTGCATGGCATTGTTCTGTGCTTTGAGTGGTCTATATCTCCCCGAAACCGCCCACAAACACCTGCCAGAGACCTTGGAAGATGCTGAAAACTTTGGAGTTGAACGGTTTGTTATATGCTTATCTGACGACACCTTCAAATCTCTTTTCTTCATTTCATACCTGTAATCCACTCTCGCTCTCTCTCTCCCTCTCTTCATCTCTCTCCCCCCTTTCTCTCTCTCCCACACACGCACAGCACAGACACACACAACAGCCAAAGCTGTATTCGAAACAAACAAATTTCACTTCCTTCTCAAAAAATATGTTTCGATAACTATTTTTAATGTCGTAAAGACGGGATATAGATGATTTATAGGCAAGACATCTTATGACATCGGTACAACAGGTACATAGATGTAGTATAATCATACCCGAAAATACATTTCAGGTATAAGAAGGCTGTCTACAAAATGTCCGGTGAGACAACTGCCCCAGTATTTGAAATGGAATCTTAATCATGTCACTATGCCATCTGGTGACACAGTTTGACGCACATGGGATAATTTTTGTAGCAGTCATCTCCTTTGGTCCTATGTGTCAGATGTTTTAAACAACAATCTGAATAATGCGATTTGGAATTGCGATTGACTGAAATTGAGTTTTCACTAGTCAAATGTATTTCTACAAGAGGAACTGCATTTATTTCCACTGCCTTACTTTGGAAAATTACATCGATAACTGACTTTTCATATTTTACGTTTCGATGCGGCGCAACTTAGTGAAATTAAATTCTTTTAAAAACGTTAAAAACGCTAGACTGAAAATTGATTTGTTAAAATTCATTTGTGCAAACTGAACAAATTTGGTAATAAATTTAGGATCGACTTTAGAAGAACAAAAATATTAGTTCTTAGAAATTGGTTTATATTTTTTTTCTATTTCTCTTCTTGTTACTTTCAAGTAAATTTAAGTAAGTTAAAATAAATACACTAGTGGCAAGTTTATTCTGCGGACAGATACGTTTCACATATCGCCTGCCTCCAAAATAACGAAAAAAGCCCCTGTTTTGGACCTACAGAGGGACTAACAAGACATCATCTCAAGACTGAGATAATTACCTGATCACCTTCACCTTAACAGGTAGTTCAGTTGTGACCAAGTCTGCCAGAACGAACAGACGAAACAGTCAACAGGTAAACCAAATATCTGGATCTATCATAAATGAAAAATTTCTGACTATCAAAACTTAAATCCAATGAAACTATTTTCACATATATATATATCAACCTGTTTTTAACCATAATGGACCCGTTTCATATTCCACAGTATTGCTATTTAATTGCTTTACCAGTGTGCCCTTATTTTTAAGGCACGATTTATTTAATCGGGCTGTTTCTGCTGGCAGCACTGTTGCTAACAACAGTGACGTAGCAGTTTTGTTTAATTTTTCTTGATTAGACTTGAAGTATTGGTCTTCATTTTTTTGTTTGCATTTTATGGCTCGACTTTGTCTAAAATAAAAGGGTTTTTTTCACAACGGATTCCAGGCCCACCCTCAGGATAAGGCGCTCGTGAGAAAATATACAAATATCATCGTCATTGAGCCCCTATAGGAACTGTTTATCTGAACATCTATTCTTCTATGGATTTTACACGTCTCCGCTAGCAACCCGCATATCTTTTGTTTATTTCTCATGTTAATAGATTCTCTGCAGATTGCATCCAGAGAACATACAAAGCGCACAGAAGATGGACTTTGATGAAGTTGTCCAACTTGTTGGTGAGTTTGGAAGGATCCAGTTGCGTACAACGGCATTTTCTGGACTGGTGACGATGTCCACAGCTTTACAAATGATGGTGACTTTATTCATGCAACAGTCACCGCCACACAGGTACGTACGCCATACAGGTAAACTACTGAATGAAGAGTATGAAATACAATTAGCTGATGTAAAGTAATCAGCTTTGTGTAAAGGGAATAAGTGCAGATGTACATAAACATGCTGTGAGATACATGTATGTGGCAAAGGTACCATTGCAAAGTATTAGATTGTTGATAGATCAATGAACAACGACCAACATATCATAAACTCTTATTTCTGTTAAAGGTGTGTCATCCCAGACCTGGCAAACGACACATTCAAAATTCAAGATGCCTGGCACCAATATCTTATCAATCAAACCATTCCTGTAGACGAGAATGGGGAGTATGAGGGATGTCTGTGGCGTAGTGGAAATGATTCCGGAAATGGTAGTGTGTTGCCGTGCAAGGACTGGGTTTATGATACATCTGTATTCCCGAGAACGTTTCCTACAGAAGTAAGTCTTTATAATACAATATTTCTCACTTCATATTTATATAGTCAAAACACTAAAATCACTCAATAATAATCACTCATATGTATATCTCATTATGAGTTGTTGTAGGTTAAAGAACCCATATTAGCGTGTTTTACACAGACAAACACGCCCGTATGCATGTGTATACTTTTCATTCCAAAGAAATATATTTTTGACTCTTCCATCTAACCACGCAAAACATCACGGTGCACAGAATGAAAATACAAAAACAAAATTACCAGACGGAAAATCATTTGGCTAACTATTTAAGACCACTTGCTTTTGTGCGTCCAGTGAAATATTTATCCCATGCACACTACATTAAGTATACATACGTTTAAAAGTCTTATTGAGCAAATCCTCTTTTGATACCAGTAAAATATTTAATCAAGAACAATATCCTGTTTTGAGGTAATAGTCAAGACAAAGGTTATTTTCTTGGAAAACCTACA